GGCTTCCATTGAGTCGAACGCTTCCACTATTCCACCCATAAACTTCCTGCTCGTTTGCGCTTGTTGTTTTTAACTGGAGCTCAATTCAGGCCAGATGTGGACCAGCCTGTCAATCTTTTTTATTTATTTGTTTATTTGAATTTCAGCACCGATTTAGAGCACTTGAAGACAGAGTGGACAAGCAGAGAACTGATTTATATGAACGAACAGGTAGGCAATCCCCAGCCCAAAAAATCACAGAATTAAATAGTCCAATTGGCATTTGGGCTGTGGGAACAGCCTGTAAGATTTGCCTTGATAAGAGCGAACACACAGAGAGATTCCCTCTACTGTCTGCCATTATCGACACGCTCACTGCACAGCAGAGACTGATGATGCCAATCACTCACTGCCACACCAAATGCCATGTGAGAACAGAAAAAAATGCCCTGTATGAACTCAAATGGCTCAACTCGCTTTCTCCTCCTTCTCTCTCTTTTCCTTTTTCTCCCTCTCAGAGGCTGGAACTCGGTCAAACATGCCTTAGTGCTGACGTGGGACGGCTATGGGAACATGTTTTCATACCCAAGGCTCTTATTCTCTGCATAGAGCTTTACTGGTGGGCTTATTCAAACAAGAGGGAGTGAAGAAATGCTAAAACTTGCAAAAACTAAAATGTACCAGAACAGCGCCATTTAAGAACTGTGATGCATGAGTGTTTAAAACACATTTAATCTGAAATCAATCAATAGGCATTAATGAGGATGATGTAAAATATCCGTTTATTTTCCTACTCTAGTCAGTCAATGTCATCTGTAAACTTCAACGACAATGGGAGAGGTTGTTTGGATAAATTGTTCTTAATACCAGTTTATGAATCATCAGTACGAGAACGCCTGGACAAAAAGCTTCTGATCTTGAATAGAGCATATTCATTAATTGATGAAGCTGATTAAATCTTAATAATAAAAATATTTCTCTACATTCAACTGATGAATAATTCATTCTAATTCAAAATCTGTCATGAATTTGACTGATCAGTAGTAAGCAAGGCAGCAAATCATGAGAGAATGACTTTCAGAAAGAACATGCTCAGGGTACAATATCAGTAATGAAGAGGGAGTTTAATGAAGCTATTAATTGTGTTGCAGTCCCACTCAGGTCAGACAGACTCATCCTCCCTGATAATGAGTGCTGACTATTTTTTTTTCTTGCACTATACCTTTCTTTCCTTGTTAAAAAACGTACACCTTAGTAATTTTAAAAGGATAGCTTCAATTACATTGGGGATATTTATGTGTGGTGATTTAAAATGAGTTTTACAAACTGAGGTCTGGGAAAAGGAATCCTTTAACATTTTAAGAAAAGTATATAAATAAATAAGTGATTTAATTAAATAGTGAAAATAGGGGGAAATTACATCATTCATAATGATATAAATAATCAAGAAATAATCAAATAGATTAAAAATAGACTCATTTAAGCTACAATGTAAAAAAAATCCTGGTTGTCTGAAATGTTTAAGCTAAATCAAATTAACCTTATGAGTCCATTGAACTTAATAATATGTTAAACTGACTTAAAACAGCTTGTGTAACTAATCAAATAAGGTTAGAACATAAGTAACGTAGTATAATAAGTTACAATGACTTAAAAACATATGCTGTCAGGACTAATTGATCATATAATTTTTACAGTGCAGGATTTACCCATTTGTCAGCAAGAAAATATTGACCTTAAATTCACAAAAAAAGTTATCACTTATTTCAGTGGACCCCCTGGGACAGTCGCAAGACAATGACAGGGGGTCGCTTGGTGATTTCTAAAAGTCAAATAAATTTTATTAAACTATTAAAATTACCATATTTAATCCATAACCCACAGAAGATAAAAATAGTAGTTTTTAATATTAAAAAAACAATGTGTAAATGAAAAGTCATCAGCCTTTCAATAATTTTTTCATAGGATTGGTGTGTTTACGTTAGGTTAACAGCACGGCAATAGTGTCAGCAGCAGTAGATTGATTTTATAGCACCAGGTTGAACTTTCTGACTCTTTATCGCAACCAAATACATTAAAAATAGATTCAGGCCAAAACTGAACATTGAGAATGATCTCTGATTGGCAGTCTACAAAATTAAAGCAAGACTAGACTTGCGCTGAAAACACTGTCCACCAGTCTCTTTAGTGGAGGTTAATGTTAATTGTTAAATTAAACAAATTATTAAATGACTATAAAAATGATATGGCTGTTAGACTGTTGCACTTTTTTGTCAATATGTTCATGTTTATATAGCCCTATTGTTGTGTGTGCAACGTTTGCATATTTATAACCACCTAAGAGGAATTTGGGGGCATTGTTATTTTAGGGCTCACAGGCTGAAAAGTTAGGGAAGCCCTGACTTATTTGTAATTTATAACTTAAACATAAATACAGAACAGTATTTTTCATTCTGAAATATACACCTGTTACACCGAACAACAATGGATTTTTCATTTGCCTATATATGATATTTACTAAGGTTATTTAGAACAGTAAATAAGACACTTGCATTTAAAATGCTTTCAAAGAACTCAATATTACTTTTGCAAATGTTATGCAAACACAAAAATGACCCATTTCAGATGCACACCTTAAACAGCAGAACAATACAGCACAATGCATATTATGGTCACATCTGATTAGTCTTGCTAAATTCAGCCTGATTCAGTTTGCACTATTTACTTTGCACTCCAGCACCCACAGAGATTCCTTCCACAGGCACAAAGGAAGATGTTATTCAGGCAAAATGACATCCTCGGTCACCATGCACTTCCATTGTATGATGCAAAAAGATGCAATGATAGTGAATGGTGACTGAATCTATCATTCCACCTTACATCTTCTTTTGTGCTTCACGGGAGAAAGAAAGTCTAATAGGGTTGGAGCAACACGAGTAAATGATGACAGAATGTGGATCATTTGAAAGATCTATCCCTTTAAGGCATCAACTGATGACAAATGCATAACTGTGATCTCCATCGGGGGAGGGACAGCGGGCTTCAACGCATGAGACTGTAAAAATAACAATGGCGTCATATCTGCAAGATTATGCACAGATTTACCAACCGGATTTTTTGTTATTTTAAACAAAACAATAACGTGGATTTTGTTAGTTATGGATCGCTACAGACTACCTTAAAGCCTGAAAAGGGGGAGGGGGCAATGTAAACAGTTTCATAAAAGGAACAAGTGCTTAAAACAGATGATATGAGCAAGCTATTATGGCAATGAGAAGTTAATGTATTGCTGTTATGCTTAGCGATACCGCTGCTGGTTGAACAGTTCAGTCTGTCATGTATCTGGGGCAAAGGAAAAATATCCTGGATGGTTCAGTAGCGCGGCAGACAAAGGAATGCACGCGCAGCTCAAACTGCTGCATCACCTCATTTCTAATGCCCTCATAACATCGATTCATTCAGACGCCCGTCAGCGCATTCGCTGAAGAACGGCAAGTAATTAATCGAATTAACTAACCCTGTTGGAAAAAACCTAACCAAAAAGCGGGAAAATGTATAAATATATTCACATATAGTTATTGTAAATGATTTCCAGCACGAAAACGTATTCTATAAACACAAACACCGACGCACTCATTGCCACAAATAGCCATTTGATAATTAAAAACTGATATATTGATAGAGAAAAACTATCTTTTCTTTATCAAATAGCTTTGTTATGTCAATATGTGATTTAGTCGTATTTATATTTTATAAATAAAATATATTTATACTATATAAATATGTGAATAAGCATGCCAAGTCATTCATATCACTTTAAAACCAATCCAAAAACATAAGAGATATAAAGAACGGACAAAATAGATAAATTAAATTCTACGTGTGCCTTTAAGGACTTTATAATGTCATAGCCTACATGTAACATCACGTTAACATTTTAAATCAGATTTACCTAAAAAAAATCCTCAACAAAAAGAGTGGAAAACAAAATGCGTAAGGATAGGATGCAGGTAACAACGCATTCCCGAGTCCTCGAGCCCGCATGTACCTCTAGCTGGTGTCCGTTACTATTAGTCATCTTATTCAACGCGGAACTTCACATGGTAATGCGAAACACCTGCATCACCGAGGGAAGTTCATCGGTGTTATATGAAGACTGGAGATCCCGCATTCCAGCGGTCCCTCGTTCCTTTAAATGGTAGTCGAGAGGTTTGCATTGGCTGCTGAACCAAATAAGGCTCGCCGTCCCTTACACAGCAAATATTCTGCTGATTTTATGGGGATTAATTGGCGTGTGTAATGCAATGGCTGTGGTTTACATCAGAGATGTGCTGAGCAGAACAAAGACAGCTTGCTTCCCATTTTTACAACCTACTGCAGTAAGCACATTTTCCTACTAGCCGAGTATTTTTATCCGATGGCTCATTGCGATGAGCTGATATACAGTCTTCTGATTAAAAAACACACGTGCATATTTTAAAAACGCATTAGCCAATATTTATAAGCAATATTGAGAATCTACTAATGTATAAACGCCGTTATTTATATTAATTATGATTTATAAAACAAAAACTAATCCCGCTTTATTTCTTAACTCATCCATTCATTGGGAAGTAGGCGGGAATCTACACCGGGGGTCTCTCCTCCGTTGTTATGATCGGTCAAGGCCGACTGACAACTTCTTTTCTTTAAGGGAAAACAAGCCATGCCTGACCCCTCCTCCTCCTCCCCCCGGGATCGCAGCGCATCCCACTACTAGCAAACACACTCAAACTATTGTCACCGCTGCACAACAGGATGTGGTAACCTTACGTTTAAAAGGGAGTGTGTTTTCAGCTCAGCTAAAGCCATGCGGTCTACTTTCCCCCCTTCCTTTGATATTTGCCTACATATTGTGACACAAAGCCTCCGAGCGCCTGGCGAGCTGTGAGATAGCCCACTCAAAAACACAAGTTTGCCGCTCCGATTCCATTCACGACAGATGAATCACGCGTCTAGAGAGAAATAACCATGCAACTCACCTTCAGCCTAGTCTTTTCTTTTCCTTGTGATCCAGCCCTATTGTCCGTTTAGCAAATAATGTATTTTTTTCACATGATGACTTCCTTGCAGACTCCTAAAGCCCCCGGGCTGCAGGGAGATCACGTTTTGCGGTGCACTCGTTTAATATTTCGTTTTGCGTTTACGAGGAAAAAATGCGCGTTTATGCTTGAAATAGTGTGTCTAAAATGTGTGTGAATGTGTGTGTGCTGATCTCTGCAGCGTGCGGCTCCGTCTCCTCTGTTTGTTACACTCGAATGAAACGCCTACTCTCAATCGCTACATTGTTGACATTCGCGCACTGACGTCATCCCATCCCTCATTCACAACATGGAGCGCTGCGCATTGCGTTGCTGCCTCCAGTGGCAGGGCTTCTTACTCCAAATATGTGCGCAGCCGCGGTTCGCGAATTAGAGTAGCGGGGGGACGAGCACAAGCAGGCGGTGTGTGTGTGTGCTTCACGAGGACAGGCTGATTCCAGAGCGGGAATGGGACCCAATACACTTAAAAGACTTCCAAGGAGAAAAATATTATGCAGGCTGAAGCTGAGTCGTGGTTTAAATGCGAGAGTTGAATTGTGACCTGCTCGTTACGAATATTCACTTGCCTTATATATCTCTTTAATATGCGTTCATTTAACTTCTTTAAATGTATTTATTATTATTATTATTATTTTTACATATTTGCATGATGTCTAGTTTTGAAAGCTAATTTTATGTACACGGATACCTTACTTGTGATTTCTTGTTAGGGGTTTTGTAATGTTGTTTGCAGTTTTATTTATTGTAGAGCCTAATATTATATTATAGTTTACTTGTGTCTATTTTTTTTTTTCATTTTTAATGTGACCATATTTTTATATAAATATGCTTTAGAAAAAAAATATTTCTAGAGTTCATAATGAAATAAAACGATTCTATTTTATTTTAGCATCAATGACTGAAAGTTTCTTTTAGTTGAACCAACTCAGATTTACTAGATGCAGATATTTAGGGATATTCTTATTATCCATTTAAACTCTATTTAACCCTCTAACTACCCCACCAAAAAAAAAGTTAAGATTGCATTTCTTAACTCATAATGTCACTAGTTATCACTCTTAATGCATTTTTTAGCACATTCCATAATTTCTAAAATATCAGCCTCTACCAAATGGTTGACATGTCAGTTGGTTAAAGTAACAGACTTTCATATACTATGAAAAATATGTAAAAATATATATATATTTAAAATAAAACATTTCTCAAAACTAAACGATCTTTACTTTTTAAAGTATGCCATGAAATATTACATATTCTCAATTAACATGCTTTCATGTTTTATTTATTTATTTATTTTTTACAATAAAACCAAAATCAAGTGTAGTAGTGCAACAGAATTATGTTTGTTTGATTTGTTTCGCAAACCAACAATGCTGTGTGTGTAAATCATTATTGAAAAAAGTCATTAGGTAAAACAGTAAAAACAAGGTCAACCGTTTGGTAGAGAGGCAGTCAAAGGGTTATAGTGTGACATTTGTATTACCCATATAACTTATCAAAATTACCTAAAGTTCTTTAAAATTTGTATTTAATTTATAAGTAATTCCAAAAGAGGTTTGAAAACAAAAAATATAAAATAAAATAGCACATTTCTACTGTGATTTAGTGATACTTTTTTGTAAAATCTAATTTTGCTGCTGAATCTTTCTTAGTGCAGGTTATTTTTGAAAGTCAGGGGCTAATTTAATATTTTAATAATTGTAAATGATATAATGATATAATTTTTTTTTTGCAGTTTTATTTCTTGTAACCTAATATTTTATCAGTTTACTTATGATATAGAATTTTTACCAATTTTTAATCTGATTAGTTTTTATCTGATCAGCAAATTCTCATTGAGTAAATGCAAAATAAATAAAATAATCAGTTTTTTGATCTAGCATGTTATTACATTTCCATTGTATGTTGTTAAAAATGTTTCTCTAAATTTTGCAAGAACATATAGGCCTGCGTTCACATACATGGCTTAGATTAAACCAGGATTATGACAGTTCAATTAAAAAAATTCAGTATTACAATATATGTATGCTTAATCAATGAGTTGAAGTTTCTTTTAGTTGAACAAGCTCAAAATTACTAGAGGGAGGTTCATTAATTCATTCATTCATTCATTTTGCTTTGGCATGTTAATTTATTCATCAGGGTTTGTCACAGTGGAATGAACCGCCAACCTTAGAGATATTCTTTTGATTATGCGTTTTAACTCTAATTAAAGTATGTCAATTATATAACCCATATAACTGTCAAAATGACCTAAACATTTTTAAATTATATATCAGTTTATAAGTAATTCCAAAAGTTTGAAAAAAAAAACTGAATTTGTTATGCCTTTTTGATGTCTTAACATAATATAATGCAAATTTTTGACTCCTAAAAATATTGAACTTATTTATGATAAGAGTTATAAATTGTACCAAGTTCAAAAGAGTATTTATCAAAGGTTTATTTAAAAAAGAAAAAGAAAAATAGCACATTTTACATTTCTGCAGCTGAATCTTTCTCAGTGCAGGTTATTTTTTGAAATTCAGTTAATGTTGAAGTGTTGGTTACTTAAAATACTTAAAATAATAATATTTGCACTATTATTGCGTAGGGTGAAATTTAATAAACACACTGTGATCGAAGAACAGGGCAAACTGTCATTAAGTAAAATGACATTAAATTGTTAAAAGTCACCATAAGTGCAGTTATAATAAAAATGCACTTGAACTGTTGTAAGCGTCTCAGAAGTTAATTGCAGTCAGAGTGCTGAAATGACTTTGTGCATCAGTGGTTTGTGTAAGCAGTCTACCTGGGGAACACAGCTCATAATTCCAGCATGCTTTGTGCCAAACCATCCTACTTACTGCTTGTACAAGAGAGCTTCAGCTGAAAAATTCTCATTTCTCGTGTAGAATCCTTGCCCTAGGGAGCATGCATGTAATTATGAATTATCTAGCCGCCACAGACAGTTAATTTGTTTTTCTTGTTTTATAATTCATGGCTCCCCATCTTAATGTGGAATTTAGAGTATATAAAAAATGTCCCAGTATTGCATCATAGTTAAACAACTCTGAAAGTGATTAGACATATTCAATAAATAAACAATGTTTATAGACTGCAGGTATTTTTGCTTTTAGTATAAATATTAAAATATCTAAGATGCACTAGCTTCAAATGCAAAATTATTTAGATCGTAGAAAAATGTATCAAAATTAAGTTATGATTGTTATTAAACAAGAAAAATAGTGCGTCACGGTGGCTCAGTGTTTAGCACTGTCACCTTACAGCAAGAGCGTCCCTTGTTCGAATGCCAGCTGGGTCAGTTGGCATTTCTTTGTGGAGTTTGCATGTTCTCTCCAAGTTTTCTCTGTGTGCTCCAGTTTTCTGCAGTCCATAGACATGCACTATAGGTGAATTCAATAAACTTGGCTGTAGTGTATGAGTGTGTATGGATGTTTCCCAGTACTGGGCTGCAGCTGGATGGGCATTCACTGTGTAAAACATATGCTAAATAAGTTGGTGGTTCATTCCGCTGTGGTGCCCCCTGATTGATAAAGGGACTAGGGCGAAGGAAAATGAATAAATAAACAAGAAAAAATATCTGAAAAATATTACTAAATATATTTAAAGGAAACGCAAGAACATTTTCTGACCACGCAATCAGATTTCTTTTTTTGTTAAGCATAAAACAGCGATGCATTTTCAATCAATCAATCAATCAATCAATTAATCAGTCAGTCAGTCAGTCAGTCAGTCAGTCAGTCAGTCAGTCAGTCAATCAATCAATCAATCAAAATTTACTTGAAAAAGAATACATAACTAAATAAGACATAATATTTGTACTTAATGCAGTTTTTCTTCTCCAATCATTAACTTGATTTAGAAGAGGTTTGATTTTTGTAATAGAAAACAAGACAATAAACTAAACCTTAATTTTTTGCCGTGTACCAGAGGGTCAGATATTTTAATGGAAAGTAAAAATAAAATATAAAGACAAGGCAAAATAATACCCCACAGCTCTTAGGGATGAGGTAATATAAAGTGAATATTGTACAGCAACGTTCAGTTTCTTGCACACGACACTTATTTCACTTTACAAGACTTTTACATTTTTATTTTTGGGTGAACTTTCACTTTTAAATTAATACTATAAAACTTATTCTAATGGTGCCAGAGCAAAATAATAATAATAATAATAATAATAATAATAATGAAAACAATCTCCCGAGTTTAAATGGATAACCCCAATCCTAACCCTAACTTAACCCTTTTATCATTTGCTTTTTTATTGAAGGTTTAGAAAACTCCAGTCATTTATTGCATTGCCTGTTGCACAAGAGACATTCACAAGGACTGAATGTACACATCAGAAAAGAGCCAAGGAGTTCAAGAGGAATTCCTGCACTTGGTGACCTTTCCCTGTGGTCTTTTCTCCCAGGGGCCCCTCTAGATTGAGTGACTGAGTGATTTAAGGCACACCATCAAAGTCACGGGACTCTGATTCCCACCAGTGCTCTAGTAGACAAACAAACAGGTAGACTGATAGGGAGAACAAGCGAGATATAACGTAGACTTTGCATTTTGAACTAACTAACCTACATGTGAAAGAAAATGCCCCCAATGTGGCTTTAACCAAAACTTTCCTCTGCAATTACCACTTCAACACATTGTCATGTGTAAGGCTCAAATAGAGCGCTTGCGGAGTGAATTTCTCTGAAGCTCCTGAAAAGATAGGACAAGTACTGACATGTATAGTATATGTATGCATATGTAGATATATGGAAGGAAGCACATCTTCCAGCGGTTCTCTTTTTTCAACATGCTTTAGAATGTTGTTTTTAAAATGGCAAAGATGCATTTTCAGCATAATTTTCCCATTGTCAGTCTCACAAGATTCTTTGGAAATCATTATAATTTGCAGATTTTTTGATACTGAAACATTTCTTCTTCTAACTTGACTTGTCATGACATCCTTCCATCTAGAGAGACAGACAGACAGACAGACAGACAGACAGACAGACAGACAGACAGATAGATAAATAGATAGATAGATAGATAGATAGATAGATAGATAGATAGATAGATAGATAGATAGATAGATAGATAGATAGATAGATAGATAGATAGATAGATAGATAGATAGATAAAAGTGTCTGCTAAACGAAATAAAATATGACGCAGAAAAAAAGGTTTGTCAAAGTCATAAAAAACAAAGGTTACAATAGTTTAAAATTAAGTTAAATAAGTCAACTTCTAAAAATTTATATAAAAATGATATTTTATCTCATATATCTGATATTATATATCAGTATATTTAGTTTTTTTTTTTTGATGTGCTCATTTGTCTCCATTTGCCTGTTGTAATGTCCTGGTGAATTTATTCAGTATTTTATAAAAAAAAAAAAAATATATATATATATATATATATATATATATATAAATACAATTCTGACACACTTAAAAAGCCTAGCAAAAAAAAATTTAATTCTCTAATTGTACAAGGACTTTGATCCCTAGGCTTAATATTAATTGTTTTGGCAAGACATAAATAATTTATGTGACATCCTGTTGGATCAGAATGAGTGCATTTATTCTGAACTGGGGAAAAAAGCTGTGGCTCAGTTCAAATTCCCTAAAGGTAAAGTATGTAGTAAAAAGCACTATTAAATATTGCTCAATGAATATTTTTATAGAGCAGAAGAATAAAGCCTTTTGCTGATTCCTGTGATGCTCTTTTAGATTTTCTTGCAAGTTGAGGAGTGATGTTTGATTGCTGGCTATTGTTAGCTTACTTACCAACTTGAGTTTCTATTGCTCTTCTATTTTTCCCTTTCTGAGAACCACTGCTGGTGTGATCATGTGGCTCATTGGTGTTAAAATTCTTAATTTTCCCATTCATCCATAGGAAAAGATTTCTATTAAGCTTACAGGCAAAATAAAGGTGATGGTCTTTCTTAACCATAAAGATATGCCTTTTGTAAAATCCAAAACAAACAAAAAAGCGAGCACAGCAGTGTATGAGTTCTACAGTTTATTTAAAGCAACTTATTCAGCATTGATGTTAGCTTTATAATTGGATCATCCATTTAGGAATAGCATGATGCAATTCATATCATGTATGAAGCAAGCATTTCTGGTTCAAATTGAGATTCCTTATCTTTAAAACTTACTTGTCCTCCCTTATTGCCAAGCCAATGAAATACTGACCTAGTCGCTTAGCTTGAAAACTAGAGAGAATTTCATGCATCATTTTTGTTTCTTTGCTTTTAGTTCATGTTACTAGCATACATTATACATTAACATAGTTTCCTTTAGGATTTCTTCCAGCTGTAGCAGCAGGCCTTTTATACAGATCTTCCAACTACCTGTTGGAATTTTCATTGAGTGCAGTATTACAAGTAGAGATCGCATTCATGTAATACGAGCATGCAAATCTCTTTGCTTGTGCACAAAACTTTTTGCGCGCCCGCAAAAATATATGCTGTTCATGCACAGATTTTCTTGTGCGCTCTCAAATAAACATTGCTGAAATGTGATTTAGCGCGTTCATGTAACGAGTATGTCTCCAACATTTATTAGATTTGCCAGGAATATTTATGAATGTCTCCAATAGACCTACAGAACAGCATTGATGCGTCCTGAAGTAAAATGAAACAGCTATAAACCCCAGCAAGGTAAAGTTATAGTATGCAAAACCATAGACCTTTATCTATAAAAAAAAGTATAATGAGAAACTGTGTTCATCATAACTGAAAGCTCATGCATCGCACAGCCCTGTTAGTCAGCCATTCAGCATGTAACCTTAAGGGTTAAACAAATAATGCACAGCACTACTATGGTTATAGAAAAGTTCGCTTAGTTATAATTCACTTATATTTTAATACGTTTTGGTGCAATTATAACTCGCTATAAAATAAAAAACAGCAACAACTGAAGGTTTTAATGAGCAGTTGTAATGTAGCCTTGGAAATAAATTTTGGTGTTGCGCCCACCATGGAAGAATCCATGTAGCGGAAACCATGATGACGCTATTTTTATATTAAAGAAATGCTAAATACCTCATTAGCTGGTTTAAATGGGTTTAAATAAAGGTGAAGCTAAGATCAAGAAAGAAGAAAGATCAAGCTTCAGATCTGCTTGTTCAATTACTTTATTAAACTAAGCTGAATCATCACAACTTGTGTGTTGTTTGGAACAACTTAATTGTTGTATGTTCAATCCATTAAAATTTCTAAAAGCAATTAAGTCACCATAATTAACTTGTGTTTGAACAAGGAGAATTGTGTGGAACCCAGCATTGCTAGTGTATACTGTTCAAAACAGTGGTGCAAAAAACCAATTAAACCAACAATATATTTTTGAATTTTGAGAGTAATGTTGGGAACTTTTTATATAAAAAATGTTTTTATAGAAATGATTTTTAAATAGATTTTTTTATTGCTAATATTGCAGATAAATGCATTGCATAATAATGGATAATAATGCAAATGTGTTTATCCAATAGATAAATAAATAAATAAATAAACTTATTGTGATAGAATAGCAAAAATAGCTACTGAGGAAATATAGCTACTATTTAAAATAAACTGAATTTAAATTAATTTTGTGAAATCTAACTTTTTGAGCACGTGTTACAACTAACCCTCTTTCTGTTACAACTTGCCCTGCATTTGGGGTAAATAGTAAAATTTTTACTCCTGGCATATTTGGCAATACTGCACAGACAATATAGATCCGGGGACCATACAACCAGTGCTCATTTGCAGGACAGGCTTGTGTGTTGTTGGTAAAACATATGGTTTGTCTAAGTGCATTATTTTGTTTATTATTGGGTCAAAACCAAAAAGTGTTTTCTCTCTCCCCTATTTTTATGGATTATGTTGGAAAAAAATTCAAGTTCTGTATGCTCCACAATTAAAAAACTATTGTTAAAGAGCTGCAAAAGCAACTCGCTGTATTCTGGAAAACCAAAAGCACTTGTCTTATTAGCTTCTATAAGGTCAAATGGATATCTGGTTAGCTAAATTGTGCAATATTGTAAATTTAGTTTTAATTTTTATCTTAGAAAAAGAATGCATGCGGTACATTGGAAAAAAACTACATCATATACAGCAAAACAGCTGCATGAGAAACGGCAAAATAAGAGATTTTATTGTTCTAGCTGAAAGTACAGCGCAATATCAGACGACATGTCAAATCCCGCACGCTGCCGAAAGCATGAGTCATAACAGTAAGGACTGGTGTAAAATCAAAACAGGCCCCTTCAACCAGTCGAATGCACAACAGTCGGCCACGCTTGATGACTCATTTCGGAGGAGATTAATTGACTTTGCGGTCGCTGCAGCGCAACACCGTGCCAAATGACATCCTTATATTGGCTCACTAAGGTACTAGACAAGCCCCGACAGAGGCACAAAGACGTAAACCCAGCCGAAAACTCAGAGGCCAGCCAACGGTGCAGTAAAAGCCAAACGCTGCGATTACGTCAATCGCTGAGCCTCGGGGAGTAGGATAACCGCCATTCACAACACAGACACCACACAGATACTAACAACAGCTCAGGTTACCTACGGGACAGGTAACACTTCCCCCCCTATGAGAAGCACACAGGACGTACACTTTCACCTACACTCTCTAGTTTTAGTAACTCATTTCTACTGATTTCTTTATCTTTGCCATGATGACAGTAAATAATATTTGACTAGATATTTTTCAAGACACTTCTATACAGCTTAAAGTGACATTTAAAGGCTTAAGTAGGTTATTTAGGTTAATAAGGCAGGTTAAGGTAAAAAAAATTGCTTAAAGGGGCTAATAATTTTGACCTAAAATGTTTTTTTTTAATATTTAAAACTGCTTTTATTCTAACTGAAATAAAACAAATAAGACTTTCTCCAGAAGAAAATATATTATCAGACATACTGTGAAAAATTCCTGGCTCTGTTAAACATAATTTGGGAAATATTTGAAAAAGAAAAAGAAATTAGGGCTATAATTCTGACTTCAACTGTGTATAATTATTGGAACACTTTAAAACAATGGTCTATTAGTTAATGTTTGTTAATGTATTTACTAACATGAACAAGCAATTTGTAATAGATTTATTACGATATTTATTCAACTATGTAAAAGCTTGTTAATGTTCTTAGTTAAATAACGTTAGTTCATGTTAACTCACTGCATTAACTAATGTTAACAAACACAACTTTGGATGTTAACAATGCATTAGTTAATGTTGAACTATGGTTAATAAATGCTTTACAGATTAATAATACTTGGTTAATGTTAGTAGATACACACTGTAAAAAATTCCTGTAAATTTACGGTGAAAATCAACAGCAAAATACTGTTTTAATGTAAAAACAGCAAGTTGCCGTTTTTTACAATGCATCATGGGAAGACTTGCTCACTTCAGTTTGAGTGGTTGAGCAACAACAGTAAGGGCACTGTAATTTAACGGTTTTATACCATATTTTTTTCTGTGTACACAAGACACCATTTTGGATTATCTACATGAGGTAAGTTTGCAGCTCCATATGTGACTAACTATCTGTAAAATATCTGTTAGTTTTTAAAATCACATGTAAACATCCAATAAACACACAACTGCAACAATGATATGACTGTGTAAATTTGAAAAGCAAGATTAGCATAAGGACTCGGTAACGTTAGTCCTCACATCTCCTGGAGCCTGGATGGATATTTTACCTGAACTTTTAGGAACAGTGCAAAAATTGAACGTTATAATTTGTGGTTACATGAACTGGTACATTGCCCTGCATTTTATGACAGATTTGAACTGCGTGCCTCTGTTTGAAACTCCAAGGTACTTAACAAGAAAGGATAATTGGATAATTTGGATATTTTCGACGAGGTAAGAAGCTATATCTGTAAACGTACTATCTTTAAATTACTTATTAAATTTAAATATCATACCATAAACATCCAATCAACACATAACCAAAGCACCTGTTTATTTAATTGCAGGATCCGACCGTGTGAATGTCTTGAGAAGAGAAAGGGGGTAACTATAGCCTAATTTAGCAAGCTAACGTTAGCTGGAGGACTCATTTTCACATCACACACAGGTAAGAATGTTAAACCTAGATTTTACATGAACTTTGAGTGAAGATTGTACAGAATCTTTTTTTTTCTTCATGTGGTTACATGTGTAACTTGCATATTTGGTCCATTTTATTACAGACACTTTTCATTTGCAACTCCGGTGCTTCTAAAAATAACATTTTAAGATCGAGTGAGACCTTTGTTATTTTTACGTTATTGCAGTTGGTTTATATAGAAATTGACTAGAGTTACGATCAGATTTTATGCTTGGTAACGTTACCTAAAGTGGCAGAGCTTTTAATCTTTTTTGTGAGTAAGAAGTAACTGCTATTATAATGAAAATTCTTTACAATTCATTTTTGACCAATAGATGTCTGCCACCACTGCTAATCTTGAAAAGATGGGTAACCTGCCAGTGACTCCTCATTTGATTCTGCCTGGTAAGTATTTTGTGATTAAGATAGGGAAAAAATCTAATTTGTGTCCCGCTATAGACTTTGCTGGTTTGTATTTGACGAAATAGATTAATTCATTTTTAATTTATTAAAGCAAAGTCTCATTTAGTTAGAAATGTATGTATTTGTTTTGATCTGATACCCAAAGAAATAAACTTGCCTTTTAGAAGCCTAGTTATCCTTTAGTATTACTATTGACATACTATTGTCAATGTTTTAACAAATGCTTAAGACATTCTGTCACTTTTCATTATCTTTGAATCTCAGATTACCTGGTTTGATTTCATGTAGTTGCTTATTATAGTTATTTAAATATTTATTTTAATTTTGAAAAATTATATTGTATGGCTTTATCACGTCTTGCATAATTTTATCATGGCCCTTTCTACACCAAGCCTTTCAAAACAAATGATAAATAACAGAATTAATCTCCAGAATAATTCCTAAATAATACTTTAATCAACCAATTTATTAAAGGTTCAGATGATACTTTGGGCCAGTGGATAAAACAATGGATGATCAGCATGGAAGGCAGAGTAATCTGTGAGGGTGAGCATGCACACTGGAATTCCTTCAAAGGTAATATGTTTGCACTTACATATTTTTTGTTTAATTTAGCATGAGGACTTCATGGAATAGAATATTGTTATGTCCAACTTGTCGCATGTGTGTTTGTGTGTATACACTACAAGTGAAAAGTTTGGAATCATTGGAATCAAAAAAAAAAAAAAAAAAAAAAAAAAAAAAAAAAAAAATATATATATATATATATATATATATATATATATATATATATATATATATATATATATATATATATATATATATGTCGTATAATAAGCTTCTTGTGCTCACAAAGGCTAAACAATACTGTAATAAACAAGGACAAATACAGCAAAAACTGTGATATAGTGAAATGTCAGTTAAATAGTATATATTTATCATAAACTAATTAAATCATGTACTGGTATTTTATCGTATTTAGTTTAAAATGTGATTCTTGTATTTTAAAGTTAAATTTTGATCATCATTAAAAATACTAGTCTTCAGTGTCACATAATTATCATGGTGCTTAATATAACCATTTGCTAAAAATAAACTTTTATTGTTGTTGTCATAACTTTGTGAAACAATACAATACACATTATTCATTCATTTTCTTTTCGGCTTAGTCCCTTTATTATTCCAGGGTTGCCACAGCTTAATGAACCGCCAACTTATCCAGCACATGTTTTATGCAGTGGATGCCCTTCCAGCTGCAACCCATCTCTGGGAAATATCCATACACACCCATTCACACACATACACTACAAACAATATAGCCTACCCAATTCACCTGTACCACATCTTTAGACTTGTGGGGGAAACCAGAGCACCAGGAAGAAACCCACGCGAACACGGGGAGAACATGCAAACTCCGCACAGAAACGTCAACTGACCTAGCCAAGTCTCGAACCAGTGACCTTCTTGCTGTGAGGTGACAGCACTACCTACTGCGCCACCACATCAGTACACATTATACAATACTATTTCTAAGTACCATTGAAAATTAATTACTTTTACTCATCCAACTAAATTGTTCAAGCATGAAAGTAAATTAGACAACGTGGTGGCTCAGTAGGTAGTGCTGTCACCTCACAGCAAGAAGGTTGCTGGTTCAAGCCTCGACTGGGTCAGCATTTCTGTGTGGAGTTTGCATGTTCTCCTTATGTTCGTGTGGGTCTCCTCCAGGTGCTCCGGTTTTCCCCACAGTCCAAAGACATACAGTATAGGTGAATTGGGTAAGCTAAAATTGTCTGTAGTGTATGAGTGTGAATGAGAGTGTATGGGTGTTTCCCAGTGATGGGTTGCAGCTGGAAGGGCATCCACTGCGTAAGACATATGATGGATAAGTTGGAGGTTCATTCCGCTGTGGCGACCCCAGATAAATAAAGGGAAAAAGCCAAAAAGAAAATGAATGAAGGAATGAATAAAAGTAAATTCATTTTTTATAATGCAAAAAAGATTTTTAAAAAAATGTAAATTGTAAATTTTTTTTTTTTAATCAAACAATCGTAAAAGAATGTATCAGTTTCCAAAATACTTTGAAGCTTTTTTTTAGCACTAATCATTATAAGAATCAATATTAGTGGTTTTGTACCAATAATATAATGATTTCTAAAGGATCATGTGACACTAAATTAAATGTGAAACTACGTTCAATAAGAAAAGAAATTTTTTTTTAAAAATTTAAATTATTTATATTGTGTAGTAACTAGGGATGTAACAAAATTGTAAATACCGTCATACCGCAATAGTAATTTTTTTCAATATTACCGTAGGCGCATGACTCAATAAAACTATATTTCTGAGAAAAGTTTGCTTAGGCGAATGAAGCGAACGGGAGGTAGCGGGAACTGCAATTTCCATCAGCCCAGGCGTGGCCATCATCCTTTGCGGTCTGTTGTCGCTACAGATCCAGTAATGCGGAAATGGAGTGTGCTGCTAGTAGCGGGGAAGGAAAAGAGCTGGAAATGATCGAACCTAAAGTGGGTTTTAAATCGGATGTGTGGAAGCATTTCGGTTTCTCTCTAAAAAGATACAAGAAAGGAGAAAAGGTGACAGACAACAAAAAAAAAGGTATGCAGACACTGCCAGACTGTTGTGAAATATAAGTCGGGGAATACGACTAAAAACAGTCATGGGGACTGCAGAACACAGCACACTTGTTAGATTGATGCAGACATTGACTTGTAATGCAAAGAGACCTCTATCTCACTCATGGCTTGTCCTCTCAAGTGGTGGAAAGACAATGCACAGTGTTACCCACTGCTGTCAACCTTGGCCTAATCATATCTCTCTGTCCCAGAAACCTCAGTTCCAAATGAGAGGGTTTTTTTTCTGTTGCAGGGGACATGCCCAGACCCCAGCTTTTACCAGATTATAATTATATGATTATTTTCCTTATAAAACCCATCTCTATCTAAGTGAGTGAGTGATTAAATGTTGAATGTGATGAGTTTTCAACAATACTAAATTGAAACTTTATTTTTTTATATGGTTTAATAGTTTTTTGTAATTAAAATTTAAAAATTGAAGTTCCTGTTTCGAAACTTACAGATAGATGGCTAATTTGTATGTCATTGATATGTTCAGTGCTAAGGTAAATAAACACTTTTGGCACTTTTTTCGAGTCTTTTCATTAGTTTTGTTTTTCCTGTAAATTGTTCAATAAGTATGCCATTCATACCGAGGTATTATCGTACAGTGAAATTCTGATACTGTTACATCCCTAGTAGTAACACTTTAAAATTCAACATTTTTACTTTATTTTTGATCAAATAAATGCAGCCTTTGTGAGCAGAATAGCCTTTTTAAACATGACCTTTAAAAAATATGTCCTTCAGATTAATATTTTGAATAGAAAGCTTTACAATTATATATTTTTGCATAAACATTAGATTAGTCAAAGCCAAAATTGGAGCTAATAAACTTAGTACACGCCAGTGAATATTTTGATGAAAAAAAATAAACACAACTTTAATAATAAACAGGAAAAAAATATTACTCTGTTTAATAAAACTGTTTTGTTTAAATGCACCAATATATATTTGTCTATATTCACTGAGGAATTTATACAAATATAAATTTTTTAAAGGGGCTGTTAATTTATGCTGAACACTATATGTGGTGTGTGTGTGTGTGCATGTGTGCATGTGTGCGTGCGTGCGTGGTCTAAATTATTAGCCTCCTTGATTTTTTTTTTCTTTTTTCAATATTTACATATTTATGTTTAACAGAGCAAAGAATATTTCACAGAATTTCTGATAATTTTATTTCTTCTGGAGAATTTTTTTCTGATTTTTAGCTAGAATAAAAGTTTTTTTTTTTTTTAAACATATTAAGGTCAATATTATTAGTTCCCTAAAGCAATACATATTTTTGATTGTTTACAGAACAAACCATCGTTATACAATGACTTTAATTAACCTAATTAACCTAGTTAGGCCTTTATATGTCACCTTAAGCTAAACACTAGTATTTTAAGAAAACATAGGCAATTATTATCTGCCGTCATCATGGAAAAGATAAAAGAAATCAGTTATTAATTTTTACAAATTAGTTCTTAAAACTAGTATGTTCAGAAATGTTGAACAAATCTTCTCTTTGTTAAACAGAAATTGTGGAAAAAATTATATATTATATTATATACAGTTGAAGTCTGAATTATTTGCCCCCTGTTTATATTTTTCCCCAATTTCTGTTTAACGGAGAGAATTTCTTCAACAAATTTCTAAACATAATAGTTTTAATAACTCATATCTAATAACTGATTTATTTTCTCTTTGTCATGATGACAGTAAATAATATTTGACGAGATATACTTCAAGACACTTCTATACAGCTTAAAGTGACATTTAAAGGCTTAACTGGGTTAATTAGGTTAACTAGGCTGGTTAGGGTAATCAGGCAAGTCATTATATAGCAATATCTAAACATTATATAGCTTAAAGGGGCTAGTAATTTTGACCTTAAAATCAATATTTAAAAAAATAAAAACGATTTTTATTCTAGTCAAAATAAAACAAGACTTTTTCCTGAAAAAAAAAAATATTATCAGATATTGTGAGCATTTCCTTGCTCTGTTAAACATTATTAGGAAAATAATGAAAATAAATAATTCAAAAAAAGGGGCTGATAATTCTGACTTCAACTGTACATATATAATAGCAAATAGGGACTTTAACTATGTACACACACGTTACTGGTGTTGTTAAAAAATCAAACATTTTAACATTTGAATGCCCTTTTCATGTCTTTAATCTTCATCATATAATAATAACCTTTTTTCAGGGAAAACCATTTTAGTGCTGCAAAAATGCATGTGCTTATTCACTAAAATTTACTTTCAGAACAGAAAATCACTTTTGCAGATAGTTTATTTATTTTTGTAAGTCATACAGTTTTAAATACCTTGTTCACAGAAAATCTTTTATTCTTATTATTCAGATGCTTTGCTGGCATAAATCCAGAGAGGGGAACCAAGGCTGTGAGGGGAAATGTGACATCAAAAAAAAAAACTGGCAAGACAGTTCAGAAGAAGACCATGACTTTAAACCCCAAGGTTTCAAACATTTTAAAGAAACTAATGGACTTTGAATGGGACTTTATTTAAAATGCAGCTTGCTTGCACCCCCCTACTTTTGAAACACAGAGGACTTTTTTCTTTATTTGCTGAAGCTCATTTTAGGGCTATATATTTTTATATTTTATATCCAAGACTAAATTGTAAAGTGGCTATTTATTAATTTTTTCTATGACATTCGGTAAGTTGCTTCTTGTTGTACAATGCTGAATACGATCTTAACATTTCTGGAGAACTTACAATTTTTGCCTGTTCTTTGGCTTAATATTTACACAAACACAATGCAGATTTTATTTTGTGTTGTTTGAAAATAAAAATGTGAAATATAACTTGGATTTATTTCTCTTTTTTAATCATTTTAATCTGAAATAATATGGTTAAATATGGATTGTAATTTAACAGCTTTATGCTTCTAAATAACAGATGCATGCTGTAGATAAAATGTAAAAAAAGGTAGGGCACTGTATTTTTACATTAGAATAACAGTGGTATGCTGTATCTTACAAAACAGTATCATGCTGTTAATTTAAAATGGCAGGGCACTGTATTTTTACAGTTCCATAACAGTAGATTACTGTGGCTAAAAAAACAGTATCATGCTGTTAATTTAAAACGGTAGGGCACTGTATTTTTACAGTTCCACAACAGCAGAATACTGTTGCTAACAAAAACAGTATCATGCTGTTAATTTAAAAAACGGTAGGGCACCATATTTTTACAGTATGATAATGGCAACCACAGCTGCCAGTAGATTACCGTTTTTTTACAGGGAAATTTTTTACAGTGCAGTAACATTAACTAATGGACCATTATTCTAAAATGTTACCATACATTTTTTTTTTTTATTTTGCAGCACAAAACGTTTAATGAATATATTGCCTATTATTTAAATTCATGATAATCAAGCTCCAAAAGTGCATCATAAAATTGGTATATATGCACTTTATTTCAAGTCTTCTGAAGTCATAAAATATAGTTTTGCAGATTATTTTCCTCTGACTCCTCTGGCTCTTATTTTGGCATGTGCTTACTAAATGGATTTGGCATGAGAGAAGTCTGAATTGAATAAGTACTTTCCAATGAATTGGTTGATACAGTACAGTAATCTTTATATAATATACAATCTGTTATATTTATCTTATATTTTTAATATGTTTTAAGGTAATTTTAGTACTTCAACTCTAAAAGTACTTAAATTACACACTAAAGCATCTTAGAAAAAAAGGTTACCCTTTACAATAAGCTTGTCTTAATGTTAGGTAATGCATTTATTAATATGAACATTACAGTATTTGTTCATATTAGTTAACGTTAGTTAAAGAAAATACAGTTGTTCATTGTTAGTACATGTTAAATCCCAGTGCATTAACCAATGTTAACAAGCAAGCATTAGTAAATGTTGAACTATGGTTAATAAATGCTCTACAAGTATTGTTCATGTTAGCAATGACATAAACTTATGAAACCTTATTGTAAGGTGTGACCCACAAAACTAATAAAAATAACTCAAAACTGAATACATTTTTATAAATAATTATTTTATTTTTCTTTCTTTGTTTAATTGATGATTTCTTGAGAGTTTGATTATTGCAGAATAAAAAATGTGAATTTTCTAAAGTTGACAGCACGAGAAAAGAATGACTAATTACAAGTTTTGAAAACAGTCAGTCATAGAGCTTTTGACCGACATGAGACTAACTGAATGATGACAGAATATTCATATTTGGGGAAACTAATCCTTTAAGATTGGTTTTGGCAGGTTCACACTAAAATTTTGAATAGAAAGTTGTTACTCTGCAGAACATCTTCAGACATTCAGATGAAAAACAGAACTTTCACATTTGACAAGTTGTTATTCTATATCCGTCAGGCCAAGTGTGGGTGTTTATGCTTGTGTGTGTGTGTGTAAGTGTGTGAGTGTGGGGGTGGTAAAAGGTTGCTAGAGTTCAAACCAACCAATGGTTTTGTTCTTGGCTTGAGATTGTGAGATTCTTGATCAGCCACATCTGTAATGAGAGCAAAGCTCTCTATTTAGCTATGAGGTTTATAAAAATATAAAAGTGAACAGGAAAAAAATGACATTCATACTAGATATAGTGATGAATCGCAAGCAAACTCCCTTTGATGTCTGATATCAAAGCACTTCTTTAGAACGATATACTTTCAAAATGAGTTTAAAATAGACTTATTAGATAACAGATGGGCATTCTATAAATAATTACAGAACTAGGATCAGTATTACAAGACATCTAATACATTTGTACACGTTTTTTACACTATAATGATGTACTAATGCTGCTTGGCATATGGTGAAACTAAAATCTAAAATATACTCAAAAGAATTTAAACTAATATTTGCTTAATTATTTAAAAAAAAAACATTGGAACATTGGACGAAGGTTTTTAGTTGATGTCTAAAATGTCTGAAGCAAGAAACATACATACATACATAAAATAACTACATACATACACTAAACTTCCCATCATTAATTATATATATATATATATATATATATATATATATATATATATATATATATATATATATATATATATATATATATATATATATATATATATATATAAAATGAATGATGGGAAGTTTAGTTTTCTTCTTTCATTTTGTGCACTAGGCCAAACGTTGATTACACAACAAACCAGTCATAACTAGAATGCTATTTGAAAAGAGAAATTAATCATTTATTGTTTACCTGGTGTTTTGTCAATGATTATGTCAGCTCACCTTTTCTGTCAGGTTTTCAAATTTGAGTAGTTCGTTTACATCACACAAACAGTCCCATATGAGCTTAACCAATGGATACGGTCTGAGCCGAAAGGAGCCATGATTAGTTAATCTTGTTGAGTCTTCTGGCTTTTGAGTCGTTTGTTCAACACGGGACCACATGTAAAGAGAGACTCAAACCTGAGGACTCGAGAAATGAACGGATCAATTCTATTTCCAGCTCAAAATTCAAATGTTTAGCTTCTGCCTATCAGGTGATGAACAAACGAATCAAACCAAGGACTGGAGAGATGTTATTGCCCATTTGTTGCATAATTTGGACAATATATGGGTATATACACACACACACACACACACACACACACACATATATATATATATAAATAAAGCATTTCATTTTTTATACTTAGATTTAGCCAAAACCGAAAAACAAAAAATACTTTAAGAAAAAACTCCTCTGAACATGGACTAGGAATTCAGTTATTTTTCATAAACAGAAAAATAAAACTCACTGCTTTATCTGTAGCTCTACATAATTTTTGTCCAGTTGAAATGCTGCTATTTAATATACTACTCTCTATACTTTATGTAAAATAATGGATAGATTAAATCTTCATCTACATTTTACTTTGAGGCTGGAAATGTATTTTGCTTTACTCTGAATTACCTTTTAAAAATATTTTGGTATATACATTTATTAAAAAGAAAGAAAGGTTTACCATAAATAAATGTATCATGTACTTAAATTTTGTTTTTTAATGGGTCATTAAAGCAAATCCTTTTATACAATCCTGATCTACAAACTCCCTAAAAGCTCACCTAAGCATGCACATGCCTAAATACACTAAATACTCCATAATTGATGAGTTAGCACATGAAGAACCACAGGAATTAGCGCTGATGCTGAAAACAAAGCTTGAAAACACCTCACCGCAGAGGCATGTGAGAGTGTTGCTGTTCGGAGGTGTTGTTTTGATACCGTTGACACCCTACGAACTGCAGCAATTATAGATTGTACAGTCAATCTCAAATTAATTAAAAATATCAAAGCGTTTTCAAATTCCTTTAAAAAAAAAAAAAAACAAAGTTAGAGGCTCTTGAGACAAACGAATTAACACGCTGTTAGCTTATAATGCCTGAAGATGATAAGGTTACGCTAGCGGAATACAGCTATCATCTTCCCCCATGTGGTCTGCTGTTCACCGTGTACTAGTGTTTCTGTGAGTATTAGCTGGATTAAACGGATGAAATCCTGCACATCCAGACTGTCTAATTAGATTTCTGTAGGTGAGCAGCTATGGTGTATTTCTGTGGGCCATGTCTGAGTGAAAGCGCACAAACGGGGAGTGCGGGATGACTCATCAGTTTTTAAGCAGAGATTTTGTAGCGTCGTGTGGAGAGTTGTGTTCATCATTCTATGAGCTCAAAGCCATTACCTTTCCACCCACGCAGTCACCCACTCACACACACACGATCATAACAATAGCTGCTTGCGGTTTCTATCATGCTCTCTCTATTTCAGTCATTTAGATTTTGCTTTTACTTGCATATTTCCTCCACTGAATTGAAGTTGTTATATGCCTTAGTATAATTTCTTGTGTATTTAACAGCCATTTGTTTGTCTAATCTGATTGGTTGAGACCAGCAGCACTGAGGCTTTTCTGCTTAACCGTGATTGAGTGTTTCAGACAGCATTGTTCATTAGTTGTGAGGGTTTTTCCTTTGTGCAGGTCTTCTTTTTACGCTAGATTATCTTCATACGTGAGTCACTGGAATCATTTAGTCAACTGATTCGATTTGCTTAATAATACTTATTCTTTTGGGTATGAAACAAGTGACTCATCATTCACTATGTCTTCATGGAAAGCAATATTGTGATATTAACACAATGAAGACAATGCTGTGATTAAATTATGGCAGATAATGCCTTAATCTGGCTGAAGTCAGAAATCAAAATGAACACAAATCAAATAAAGACATGATTTTTTGTATTTATATTTTAACTGCATCATGGAAGTGGAGTTCAGACATGCACAAACCAAAATCACAGTTTTACAATTATGTAGGACTTTCTAATCGCATTTTGTTGCAAATAATAATTTTATTATTTGTATAACCATAGTTTGAATACAAATACCATTTAGTTAATCTAAGGCTGGTGTAGCAAACCCATTTTAATTTGTGCTACCACGGTTTAACTACACTCTCAGAAAAAAATAGTACAATATTTTACCAAAGAAAGTACAGACACTTTTCACTGGGGCAGTACCTTGTTATGGAACAGAATTGTACCTTAAAACAAAGAAACTAATTTGTACCATTACAGTTTGTACCTTTAAGGGCATGATTTGTACCATGGGAAACCGAAATGTACCTGCAAATGCTATATTGTACCTTCATTAAAGGTACAAATGTGATCCGTGAAGGTACCACTACAGTGACAAGACACTTTGTACCCCTAACAGTGTCAAATGTGTTTCTTCAAGCACTATTTAAAGGCATTTTGCTATATCTAAAATGTGTCAATTTATTTTCAGTAAATATAAAACTGATTTTTTTTAATGTTTTTTTTTGTGTGTGTGTAAA